GCACAGGGAGGAGGAGAAACTGATATGATATAGACATAGAATGCTTAGAGATTTTGGTGGGTGAGGTGGATGATGATCAGAGACTTGCGACTTGCCTGTTATGTGCTCCACTCCAATGGCTCGCCCCTTCTCTCCTACTAGCAAGGAGAAAACAGCCGTGAGGTATCCCGATCCCGAGCCCACATCAAGCACCTTCATCCCAGGCTGCAGCTGTCGTTCCAGCAGCTCGAGGCAGTGGGCATGCATGTGTGGCGCAGATATCGTCGCATTGAACCCTATCGGTTGAGGGCTATCTTCGTACGCACTCCATCCCGACGGCACGAAGAGACCCCGATCTATCTGCTTCATGGCCTCCGCGACACGTGGCGTCTGCAGAATCCCGTTCTTGAGAAGCCGAGCAACCAAGTCTTGATTGTCTTTTCCATGGCTACGCCACGCCATCAGGAACTCCCACAGCTCTCGTTGCCCCCCTCCTCCTCCTCCTCCTCCTCCTCCTCCTCCTCCTTCTCCTCCTCCTTCTCCTGCTTCTCCTCCTCCTCCTGCTGTAGCTCCTCCTCCTGCCCTTCCTGCTACTCCTTGACGCCCACGCTCCTCTCCCCAAAGACCACCTCCGCCCCCTCCTCCTCCTCCTCCTTCCTTACTCTCTCTCTCTCTACTCCCTACACCCACACCGCGCCTTCCCACTGCTTCGAGACCCCAGCTGCTCAACGTGCTTTCGCGCCTTTTTCTCCCGCGCTGAAGCGTCTTACCAGGAGGACATCCAGCAGCTGCTGAGTCAGCATTCCTCGCCCAATCAACCGGACACCAATCACCTCGACACCAATCAACTCGACACCGATCACGGAAACGCCAGCCACACGTTCGGAGACAATCTCTACGATCCGCTTGCACCAGCAGCAGCCACGTGTTCTGCGTCCACGTGGCAAGCAGAAGCCACGTGGCAACCGGAAGGATAGACAGCGACCGATGCCTTATGATTCTATCAGCTCGCTCCCGCGCCACCAAATGGTTCTTCAGAGGCCGCCGACGATCTCCTCCCTCTCCGTGGCGCCCTTTTTCCCGCCCTTTTTCCCGCCCCTTTTCCCGCCTTTTTTCCCGCCACGTGTGACCTGCAGCAGCAGCAAAACGCCAACCCCTTGTGGTTACAGATCCAGCCGCAGCATTCAAAACCCATCCAAGATGAACCTCTTGCCCATCTTCCACGTGCTTCCTGCCCGTCCTCCTCCCCCACCAAGGTCTTGTTGACGAGGAATGTGAAGAAGGGCGGGGGTGCGAATTAGGGGGGTGCAAACTGGCACCCCACACCCGCTCAGTACTGCTGCTACTACTACTACTACTACGACTATTGCAAGTGCCACGTGGAAAGCGCTGGACACACACACTGCCCACGCTGCAATTAACGGTATATGACAAGAAGGCCTCCATGCAGGGAATGAGGAGCAAGAGAGAGGAGCTCGGCGACTCGAGAGTCGAGATTTTCTGCACGGCAACGCGATAGTGCGCGCTATTAATAGATCGAAGTAGATTCGATTTGATAAAAGACTACATTAGATTAAATTACAGACGACTAATTAACATAACACCTTCCCAATAAAGCCGTAAGCCGTATATGCTCATACACCCACACCCACACACCCATCGACCCACCCCACTCCTCCGCCCGTTCCTCCCCCCCCCCCCCCCCCCCCCCCCCCCCCCCCCCCCCCAAAAAAAAAAAAAAAAAAAAAAAAAAAAAAAAAAAAAAAAAAAAAAAAAAAAAAAAAAAGAACAGAAAAGTATGGACTGAATATTACGGACGTCAACGTTTAGGAATTCCGCGTTACAGAGAGATTGGGAACTATATGATAGCACAAAGTGGAAAGTTATCTCTGGAGCTGGTACATAGTTTTTTCCGCATTGCTCACCCGCTGCACTACTCTGGGCATGCACAAAAGACAAAAATACATAGTTTTTTCCGCATTGCTCACCCGCTGCACTACTCTGGGCATGCACAAAAGACAAAAATATAATGGCCATGTATCTTTCCATGTTCTAGCGGTGGATTCAGTCTCATTTTCCACATTCGGAGAGCAGTGCAGCGAGGCCCTACATCTGAGCAGCTACGTAGTTTTCGCATTTGGTGACAAACGGAGAGAGAGGCTCACTACTCCCTTATCAAGACTCTCAGAGGACGCAGTAGTGAACGACCAATAATGAACAACCAGGAGACAAGTGTTGATGACGAATGACAGAAGTATATAATACTATATAATATATATACAGTAGGATCATTTCCGTCACAGGTACCTTGACGGCAGTGGTTGGTGGTCCCCACTTCCTCCGAGAGGTATCAGTCGTTGGGCCGTTGTTGATGCTCAACCACAACCGGGGTTAAAGTGGATTATCACTTACAGTCTAATCAGTCAGTGAGGGGATTCTGGAGACAGACTGTAGAGGGTTCAGCCTCCTGATGAGTACGTAGGTGAAACTCCAACGAAACGGTTCGTCACAGCCCCTTGTGTTTGCTGTCCTCTTCTCCCTCTCCCTCTCCCTCCCTCTCTGCCTAGGGCTTAGCGTCAGCAGCTCTGCTTGACGATATATAGTCAAACAGAGCTGCCCAGTAAACCGTAGGCAGAGAGGGAGGGAGAAGAGGAGAAGAGAACAACAAACGAGGGGGGGGCTGTGGCAAACTGTTTCGTCGGAGTTTCACCGACTCATCAAGAGGCTGAACCCTCATGAAGAGTCTGCAGAATCCGCTAACTGATTACACTGTAAGTGATAATCCACCTTAACCCCGGCTGTGGTTAAGCATCAACGACTGCCCGACAACTGATACCCCTCTTGAGGAGGTGGGCACCAACCACTGCCCTCAAGGTACCTGTGGCAAAAGTCAAAGCAGACTATCACTCACCCACACCAGATGGAAAGCTCTACAGACTGTCGGTTCACACCCATCACTTGACGATATATATTGTCACATTGTGAATCAGAGCGCAAAAAAGGGGAAAGAAAAAAGGAAAAGGAAAAAAGGGGGAGGGGGAAGAGGTAAGGAAAGCTCCACCTGTTCATA